GGGGGGAAAAAGAAGCCTAAATCTCATTGGGAATTGGCCCGTAATATCGGCCCACGAGAAACCCTAGACAAGCCCATATGGAGCATCCTCTTCTTCTCATCTGTCATTCATGTAACAATAATACTGATTGGCTGAAACACAACATCAGCAACTTTTTCGTTCAATCAGAACGCTCTGATACAGCCAATACGATCTGTGGAGCTAGACACTATATAAATCGACAGGTAGCCTTCACCGAAGCATCAGACAGCTTTTAACCGTAAGTATGTGTGGACCTAGCATAGAACTTGCAGTGCCCAACCCTCTATTTACTATTATACCTACATCCTACAGTATTTACTGAGTATTAGAGTAAGTCGTTTTTATGCCTTGTAGTTTTCTATAGATTTTCCAAGAGTGTGTTTGATTTCTTCTCTTTAAGCCTTCATTTTTTTAATATCTTTTTCGACGTACCAGATTTGAATTATTTAGCCGGATTATTTTCAATCCTTCACCCAAATTTTGTCATACTTGCATGCTTATACCTGTGTTCTGAAATGTGTGAGCTACCTAATAATCTATTGGAGTTAATCCAGTGGACGATTTCATTTAATACAATTCTGTGTGTGCTGTCTGTACAGCCTGGAACAATGTCTACTCGGAATTTCCTCTGATGTGATTCCATATAAGGGAACTTTACCCTTTGTGAATTTATCTTGGATTTATTTCACTTGGATTTTAACATTTTGGAATTCCTTTCCCTCACCCTACACCATGTGTGCTCTTATTATCACAGGTATGCTATGAAGCTTGTTACAGCAGCCGGTCCCATAGCTAATGTACACACTGGTTAAATCAAATTCATTTAATAGTTTGTGCTCCGTTTATAACTTAAAGGGATAAAGGTTTGACAATTCTATATTTATACATTGAATTTCTCCATATATTATAAAGTAGCTTTGTCACAGTACAGAGGTGGAGATATTTTACCAAGACGAGGGAATAGTTGTTTTCTCAAATCAGACCAAATGATTATCAGTATCACATATGTACTATGACTACAAACATCTAAAAATACTGATAAACTGAACAGTGTAATTTTGTATGTTTCAGGCCGGGTTTGAAGGGTTGATCTGTTCTGTTGTTGACCTTGTGCAGGGCAGTCCAGAGATTGACTTCGTCTTCCGATTTCGAATACTTTTTATTTAAAAGGCAGAGAGCTTGCTCCTGCGATATAACCATCCAAGATGAACATCGACTTCAATGATCCCGATTTCCAGTATCTTGCGGTAGATCGTAAGAAATTGTTGAAAGAGCAGACAGCTCCATTTGACGGCAAGAAAAACTGCTGGGTACCCGATGAGAAGGCAGGATTCGCAGCCTCAGAAATCCAATCCTCAAAGGGTGACGACATCACAGTGAAGATCCTTGCCGACAATTCTGTATGTATTACCTTTAAATATACCAATTAATACCAATAAAAATATACAATTATATATCAATTTACATCATTGTACCAATATTAAAAAATACTTTATGCATCAATATATATAAATAGCCATTATACATAACATGCAATATGCTGTGCACTGATTTACAACAAAATATTAATATGGAGATATTGTCATTAGAGTAGTGTACATGTATAAAGGGTACAGCCGCAACTCTATGAATCATTAGTACTAGTATAGGAAAAAATATTATACCACTATGTTTTGCATATAAATCTGCAATTATTCACATAGAACTATATATATATTACCAATACTATTATAAATACAAAAATCATTTTTTTCCAATATTTGAACATCACCATAGTTACAAAAGCTAACTTTATCCTCCAAGTAATTGTTATTCACAAATAAATATGACAGGTGAAATGGGTAATTCCCGAAGATACATTTTCTCGAAAACCCCCCCATGTCATGTGTTGATGGCGAGTATCCTTCATTTGCTTTATTAATTGGCTTAAAATGTCATCAGTTGTGATATATTTTAGTAGGTGATGAAATGGATTCTGTATGAGACTAGAACATTTATTAAAGGTGTAATTGTTTGTCAACAGACCAGGACCGTGAAGAAGGATGACATTCAGCAAATGAACCCACCTAAGTTCGAGAAACTCGAGGATATGGCCAACATGACCTACCTCAACGAAGCCTCCGTATTGCACAACCTGAGATCCAGATACACCAGTGGTATGATCTACGTGAGTACTCTCAACTATTTCACACACTTGCTAACCATAAAGCAAATATCCAAGTAATGCACACATCCCAGAAAGGTACAAGTCAGACCAATAAACGAATATGATCAGATCTTATAAAGACTGGTAATCAGTGATGCAATTAGTTTATTAAGCAACCAACACATAATTCCTGTAGTGTCCCACGTATAATACCTGTTCTCATTACCCCGTGGGGAACCCCACATCCCGTACACTGCTAACCAAATATTGGTATCCTGTGGAGTCTAAAAATAAATACAGCCGCTGTAACATGACTCGCTGACGTCAGCGATGCCTGAGTGGTATGTACATATACTTCCAATCTCTATCTTATACCCATCTTGTATATAGACAACCGATAGGTTCCAGTCGAAATGTTTTCCGTCACCTAGCAACAACCGATAGGTTCCAGTCGAAATGTTTTCCGTCACCTAGCACGCTGTGTCAGCCCCTGCGAACAGCCATGGCCTGCTTTCTGATAACCAGTCGTTTACTTATCTTGGGATACTTTCTGGAATTCTCGTCGATGCTTTTAATCTTTATAAAACTAAATTAAAGAATGATTTATTTTTCTGCTACAATTTCAAAACCACTCTAGTCACTTTGTACTTTGACCATACCATCACTGGAACTTCAATTAATGAATAAATAATAATAATAAAAAAGCCCAAATAGCCCTGTCCTGTTTGATTATAATGTTTATGTACTAATACTCAATCAGTCATACTCACTGAATCCTGTCCACTTATCTGATGTAATGGGATTAATACTGGTTATTGTGGGTGGCCCGAATTACTGGAGAAATCTGCCTGAAGTCATCGCTCTTGGCCCTACTGTACACAATTACACCTTATCACTCATTAGTGTTACTTAATAGTTCATGTACTAATAAACTATCTTATCTTTGATACACGGTTTATCATGTTTACTTTGTAAAATAAAAATAACTCGTCCAAATGTACGCTATATTATCTGGCTATGTAATGTGAACAAGTCTCGTTGCTATTGTTTCCATGTAGTTAAAAATGAAGCTGATTTGTTTACAGTTTTTAGTCGTTTCTGTGGAAGAATGTGTAATTAACATTTACTAAAGTTAGATTTAATGTATTTACAAAAATTATAAAACAATTTATCATGTAATTCATCTTACATGAATCACTCTGGTGACTAAAATATTGCCACTCATATATTTCTTTGATAATGTTGATGAGATGTGATTTGTGTGGATATCCATTGAGATGTTGCGTTCTATTATACAGACATACTCTGGACTTTTCTGTATCGCGGTCAACCCCTACAGACGTCTGCCCATCTACACTGACAGCGTCATCTCTAAGTACAGAGGAAAGAGGAAGACTGAGATCCCTCCCCATCTGTTCTCTGTTGCTGACAATGCCTACCAGAACATGGTAACAGGTACGCATCCTATAACCACTGACATGTACAACATAGTAGTTATGTTTTGCTCATACAATGTGTTTTACGTAAAAGAAAGGAATCCTTTAAACTGATGTCAAGAAATGCACCATTATAGCTAAGTAAAAATGTACGATAGTTAAAAATTAAATATACATATGTAATATATTATCTATGTAAAGACCACTCCTTTATAGTTTGATAACAGGGGTATATATATATATTGCTTCGTTATTTACAGATCGTGAAAACCAGTCCTGTTTGATCACGTGAGTTTTTTAGCTTTATTAATGTAATAAGCGTTAAGGAATCAACATTTATAAATTAACACCAAACACTTTCGGGAAATGTTTATAAATAAGAATGAAAACCTTTTTTGGAGGGGTGGGGTTAAAAGTTAAATGACATGTTTTTAAAGATTCTTTTTGATAGATATAGAAATACTGCTTGATACAACAAGACACGTTCACATCAGACATAGCTTGTCTCATAAATCACTATAAATTATTGTATATAGAGTGATGCTTAGTAGGCACTGAGGGTTGGCTCTTTTTTCTTGGGTGAACATGTTTCATTGTATATTTGCAATGTAAAACTTGCATAAAGTAAGTTTTAAGGCACTAATGCCGGTACATTCCTGCTGGTTTCTACACAAGACCATTAACAGAAAGTAGTTGCTATATAACTTGATTGAAAAATGTAAATTATTTTCATAAAGTAACATGATGAATACGTAGAAACAAGCAGGAATGTATTGCTATGCTTTAAGTAGTCTTTATTATTTACTTAAGGTTATATAAAGCTTGATGTTCTATTTCGTACAATAGTGGCGAGTCTGGTGCTGGTAAGACTGAAAACACCAAAAAAGTAATCATGTACTTTGCTAAAGTAGCATGTGCCCCTAAAAAGAAGACCGACGAGGAGGAAGCTGATAAGAAGGTAGTTTAGGTTATCTTAATTGATTGCGCATGACCGGAGCAATTCCAAACAAACAAGAGAACCAACACCTTTACCTATTTGTTTGCTGCATTCCTTGATGATCCTGAAATATTGAAATTGAAAAGTAAAACTTGGCAAGTATTATCTGCCATTCTTAAGCAAATCAATGGTAACTTTTTTTTTTAATATTATAGAATATTTCTTGATGTGATATATAAATCATAATAACGACAGTGAAGTTGCTTGTCCCTCAAATCACAAAACAATCCTCTTTACACTTATTATTACCAACTTACCTATATATTTTTTTCTATGGTTAATAAATAGTACTCTCATCCAAACCCTCCTAAACAGACCTTCCTTGTAACGAAGAGAAAACACTGTTTTTTGAACACTAATATTCCTTCTCCAAGCATGGTGTGAAGCTAAAATTAGTTGAATATCAGTCAACACATAAATTTGAGTGAACCAATACCTTCACAAGCTTCTTTACTGTTGAAAGCAAATGAAGGTCATGCTCACACAAAAGATCAACCTTGGTACGCCACTGGTACCTGAAGACTCCGTGTGACACCGAGTGAAATCCTGACAACCTGGAGAGCCTTTCCATACCCAAACAACTCAAACTCTCCACTAACTCCTAAAACCAACCAACGTTTGATTCTAATTTTGTCCTAATCAGTTTCAATTTCTTTGCACCTATTAAATATCTATTGAATTATTATCCCCTGCTTTCACCAAAACGGATGATATTAGTTTGGGTCTGTCTGTCTGTCATGCTTCGTTTCCGTGCAATAACTACAACAAATGTTAACCCAATTTTTTTAAAACTTGGTCACATGGTTAAATGCCTTAAGGGCTCGTCAAAGATCGATGATCACTTTCAGGGACCCCATTTGGCAGAGTTATAGCCCCTTGAATAATGAAACCTCATTATCTGCCATGCTTCGGATCCGTGCAATAACTACAACAAATATTAATACGATTTTCTTCAAAAATGGTCACAGGGTTAAATGCCTTAAGGGCTCGGCCAAGTTAGATGACCACTTTTTTCGGACCCCATTTAGCGGAGTTAATTATCTGCTGGGTTTTGTTTCTGTGCAATAACTATAACAAATGAGAACCGATTTTCTTCAAACTTGGTTCGATTTTGATGAAAATTGTCATATATGGATATTAGGGGACTGCAAATTCAACTGCATCGGTTTCCTTGCCATAGCTACCACTCGGAGGCGTCTGATTGGTGGAAATTTAGATATAGTTAGATTTTGATGAAAATTGGTATATAGGGATATTAGGGGACTGTGAATAAAACCGCATTAGTTTTGTTACCACAGGAACCACACAGGCTTCTGATTGGTTGCAATTTCGAAATTGTTCAATTTCACTCAAATTTAGTATGTACATTGTAGGTGTACTAAGCTTTTCTCATGCATCTTTGTGACTATGGGGGCAGTTTGGGGGACATCTGTAATGGTCCCCAATTACAGTTAGTACTTGTTGCTGTAGATATTGTTAAGATGTACAACCAGATTCCTTATTCACATCCAACTCATGCTAAGTTTGCTAACCGATGTGATTTGTGCATATTTACGGAGAATCAATGAGGTAAAGGAGGGTTTTTTTTCTTCAGGTTTCAAGCTATACATTATGTCTCAACAGCACGATACTCACATGTTTAAACCTAACCTCAATAATGTTAACCTACAATATGTCCTGTAAGCGGAGGATACAAATTCCATGAATTTGCTTGTTATGACCATAACATATAATTTTATCATGTAATCACATACTATATATTTAGTTATGATCTATTATAATATATACTGTATCACTGGTACTTATGCTCTATATGATGTTTACATTGTGATAACTTTTTTGTGCTTGTAATTTAAGCGTTGAGCTTTACTACATATATGTACTTTGATAGTAAATTATAAAAACTATCCATTTGTTTCCGAAAATGATTTATCAGATGTCAATTAATGAACAAGTTTAAAACAGTATTTGTCATTTTCTTTTCTCCCTCCCTTTACCAAAAAAAATCCCAACTCCCCCATGTCCTCCCAAAACGATTTCCAAACCATATAGGAGGGAAGTCTTGAAGACCAGATTATCCAGGCTAACCCTGTGCTGGAGGCTTATGGTAATGCCAAGACCACCCGTAATAACAATTCATCTCGATTCGTAAGTATTACCATCAGCAGCAGAAGAAGCATCCCTGTGGACCCCGTTGCGGTTGAATGAATACCACCTGTTTGATCTCACAGATCTTCTCCCTTCAAGATCCTGAACTCTTCTGCCATCTAACTCCCGGCCCCTTCCCTCATCCTTTACAACCCAACAGCCGAGGACAAATATATTGTATTTTGGTATATCTGTCTGATATCTAACTCACTTATCTTATGTTAAAATCACCCTGTTTGAAATGGGCTGGCTAGATCACCGTTATACAATGGGGGAAAATATGCTATGAACATATATTAAAAACAAATTCTATTATTGCAACGATCATTATTGTTTTGAATGATTTGCCTTAACTCTTTCGTTTATTCCACTGGTCATTTTGCCAGCTCATTTAACCCCTGTATGTTTAAGCAATTAAAATTGCTGAAACAAACATTTAGAATCACCGTAGGTTAGTGGACTTAGGTCTCTAACCTTAGTTAAGATTCCTCTGTGTTGATGTTTCACTCATCCTTCCTCCTCTGTCACGTTCCTTCCAACCAACCTTTGGACTTTACAGTAACCTCGAGGATCAAATCATCGAAGCTAATCCAGTACTGGAGGCTTTTGGTAATACCAAGACTGTAAGAAATAACAACTCCTCTAGATTCGTAAGTACAGTGATAAAGACATAAACGCCTGGTTTAGCGATTACTGTTTCAAGAGAACATTCAAATAATTATTTTGGATACATTTAAATAAATATTGAAATAATTCGAACAAATATTTAACATAATTAATAATATTTATTTTGAAATTAGCATTCAGGTTATTATAGTGTGATCTCAAGTCTGCATGTACCCCTGCGTCTCATATCAGTGGTTAAAATCGTTCATTTAAGGTAAGATATTATTTTCTATATATATATTATATAGCTGTGACCTTCTTTAAGACCACTGGTATGGGACGCACATCCAATCCCAAGTGTTCACATACATTTTCGAATTACAGAATCGATTGAGCTCAGCTATAAGCGTGTTACTTTACAATACAGAAGAGTAACTCATGTTTATAATATAAATCTATATGTATATTGCATATTTATATATATATTGTGTATGTAAAATGTGATGTAAAATTGGATGGAAGTGAAATCGCAGTATCAGTGTCATGAATATACAGTATAACAAGTGTATCTGATTGAAGTCATGATATGTGGATGAATTACACTGAAATTGTGTCTAAAATGTCATATGAAATATTGAACCTTTTATTGTTTCTCTCCTCTAGGGTAAATTTATCCGTATTCACTTCGGTCCCACTGGCAAAATCGCCGGAGCTGATATCGAGACATGTAAGCAATTTAAGACAGTTTACAAAATGTTATATTTTTTTTGTTAACTAAAGTATGCAATAAGGAATATAAATAATATATTGGTCACAGAAAGATATATTTCTTTAATACTTACTTTACAGTGTAGGTCTATTAACAATGGTTTGCCCATACCAATATATCTCCAGTATAATATATCTCCAGTATTATTTTCTTAAAGACGGGCTCTGTTGATCAATCTTTTCGTTTAACTTCAATACTTTTAGACTTGCTTGAGAAGTCCAGAGTAACATACCAGCAGTCTGCTGAGAGGAACTACCACATTTTCTACCAATTGTGCTCAAACGCCATTCCCGAGCTCAATGGTAGGTATACGAACATTATTTCAATATCGTAATCGAAACTTTGTCATTTTGTTTCTAAAACATGTGACAAAATAAGTCGAATAAAAACAGTCTCGACAGAACATACAACTATTTGATTCACCGCCATCGGTAACTGACATGTAATATGTTTTGCAGAAATAATGCTGCTCACCCCTGACTCCGGTCTCTATTCCTTCATCAACCAGGGTTGTTTGACTGTTGATAACATTGATGACGTAGAGGAGCTCAAACTTTGTGATGTAAGTATATTGATATGATACGCACCTTAATTTGGAAAACTACCAAAACATTTCCTCGTGAAACTAACCAATGCGTTAAGAACTGAATGGAGATGTCATTTATTAAAGCCATGCAATATATTTGTCATGTACATAATTTTACATATATATTTATTACCTTGCAGGAAGCTTTCGACATTCTCGGCTTCACAAAGGAAGAAAAGCAGTCTATGTTTAAGTGTACAGCATCCATTTTGCACATGGGTGAAATGAAGTTCAAACAGAGGCCCCGTGAGGAACAGGCTGAATCTGATGGAACTGCTGGTAAGTAAACATTTGAATCAGATATATAACTGACTGATATCTGGTGAACATTACATTATTATGATATACAAATGATTTTTTCTCAATAATTATATTAATAATTCACATGTTATTTCTAAGAGGAAGTAATACTAAATGATATGTAGAATAGATACACAATTGACATTAAAGTGTATATTTGATACGAGTTTGGGATTTGTTTTACAATTTTTTGTGATTTTCTTTGACAGAGGCCGAGAAAGTTGCCTTCCTTTTAGGTATCAATGCTGGCGATCTCTTGAAAGCTTTGTTGAAACCCAAAGTAAAGGTCGGCACTGAAATGGTCACGAAGGGTCAGACTCTGAACCAGGTGAGCTGGGATTTTTAAGTATTGCTGAAAAAGTATTGAATAATGCTACTGCGTGGAACCTTGATTACTATATGGTCATTTATTTGTGAAGTAATGCTTGTTACATATTGTAGACTTTTTATGTTAAACATATAACATTTATTAATTTCTCTATTTAAGGTCGTCAACTCCGTTGGTGCTTTGGCCAAGTCCCTGTACGATCGTATGTTCAACTGGTTGGTAAAGAGAGTCAACAAAACTCTTGACACCATGGCCAAGAGGAACTACTACATCGGTGTACTTGATATCGCTGGTTTCGAAATCTTCGACTTCAACAGCTTCGAGCAGTTGTGCATCAACTACACCAACGAGAGACTGCAACAGTTCTTCAACCACCACATGTTCATCCTTGAGCAGGAAGAGTACAAGAAGGAAGGAATTGAATGGGAGTTTATTGACTTTGGTATGGATCTGCAGGCGTGTATCGAATTGATCGAGAAGGTAAGACTAGCTTATTAACTAATTATGACAATTATTACCAATATATAGCAAGAACAATCCTGAATATAAATTTCAATGCAATATTTCTTTGTTAAATACACATTAAATGCATGATTCCCAATTCAAATTATTATTGTAAATCATATGAAACAAGCTTGACATAGTCTTTTAATCAGTGACTTTTATCTTTGGCCATATGCATAAACTTTGTTATCTGGTATATCATGTCAGTTAGTTGTGTGTGATTTGTGATCTTATTATTTTTAGCCTATGGGCATCTTGTCCATCCTTGAGGAAGAGTGCATGTTCCCCAAAGCTGACGACAAATCCTTCCAGGATAAGTTGTACTCGAACCACATGGGCAAGAATCCCATGTTCACCAAGCCTGGCAAGCCTACTAGGCCAAACCAGGGCATGGCTCACTTTGAGCTCCACCATTATGCCGGAAACGTGCCATACAGCATCACTGGATGGTTGGACAAAAACAAGGATCCCATCAACGAGAACGTTGTCGCCCTCTTGAGTGTATCCAAGGAGCCTCTTGTGGCCGAGCTCTTTAGGGCTCCTGAAGGTAAGCAATGCTTGTCACTTCGTTTTGTATTGTGTTTGTATTCATCAATACTGAATCCAAGTATCATTATTGGACATAATGAGCCTTTCCCAGCGGATAATTGGAAAACAAAACCCAGAACTGGAAAACAAAACCAAGAACAACCTCAATTTGGTCATTTTACTGATTAGATTATACATTTATAAAAACAGTAGTTGAAATATAATTATCTTTAATGAGACACAACCTTTAACCTTTGCAGAACCTGCTGGCGGTGGTAAGAAGAAGAGGGGCAAGTCTGCTGCTTTCCAGACTATCTCTGCTGTCCACAGGGTACGCTCTATGCCTTCTTTTACTCACATGTTTTTTGTTTTATTTTATTTTATTTTTTAAGCAGATGAATACAAAATGTTGAAAGTCTATTTAGTTATTCTGAAAGATATTTAACATATTTTCCTTTCTTCGCATCATGGTCCCTTTCCTCTCATCGCTGTTCTGCAGCAGTAATCTGATTGCGACCTAAATATATAATAGAAATGTTTTCGATTTAAGTACATAACAGTATTGCAATTCAGTTCTCATCACTGCTTTTGTAGTTCATGTGTATACTCATTGTTGCTATGTCAACTATTTTTGCTTTAAGGAGTCTCTGAACAAGCTTATGAAAAACTTGTACAGCACCCACCCTCACTTCGTGCGTTGCATCATTCCCAACGAATTGAAACAGCCAGGTAAATAATGACATCATAAATCCTGTGAATGACGTCATAAGTCTACGCACAGTGTGTTAGTACAGATAACCCTGACATCTGTTCCAGTCCTTCAAAGATCCAAACCCATATCCTACCAACACCTAATATACCATTGATGAACATATTAGCCACTAATTTATGTCTGTTTTGTTTGATAGAACTTCTTTTATCCTTTGTCATCCATGAATGGAATTTCCAAAGTTTATTTTTCTTCAAATATTTTTTTTTTATCAAATTATATTTTCTTTAAAAAACCTTGATAGAATTCGAACCAACTCCTACTCACCTTTAAAGCTGACATGACAAAGAATATGAGAAGTTCTTTAAACCCACTATCACACCTTCCCTATGTGTTTTATGATCCTTGCATCCTTTTCCCTTAGGAAAGTCTAAACAAATTGATGTGCAATCTGCATAGAACCAATCCTCACTTTGTATGCTGTATTATCCCAAACTTAGACAAGGAATCATGTGAGCTTGTATCTGGTGTTCTTTGACGGTAGTATTGAACATGGAAGGAAAGAAGATCCTGGATATTTAGAACTTTGATTTATGTTACAAACACACCTTCTCCACTCTCACCAATTCTGTGTTTTGCTCACCAGTTTTTCATTTGTGTTTTTTTTCCAGCTTTTCAAAGTATGTCATATCTGAACTTTTTAGTTATAACAAATATTTGAACAATTAAACATGAATCATAGTTTGAAAAAGTGTATTTTTGTTCCAATTGACAGATGTGTATATTTATTGCAAATCAAATGTAAGCGATAAAATTGTTGATTGAATAAGTATTTAAAAAATTTAAAATCTGGTAATGTTTTGAATGTTTACGGAAATATACGTGATATATATTACGTCGTGAGACCATCATGTAGCTATGATGAAGAAAAGGGCGTTTGTATTGACAACATGTTTCCCTCCCATAGGTCTTATTGATGCTGAGCTCGTACTTCACCAGCTCCAGTGTAATGGTGTACTTGAAGGAATCCGTATCTGTAGGAAGGGATTCCCCAGCAGATTGATCTATTCTGAGTTCAAACAGAGGTAAATAGACAATAGCTGAGGATTACTTAACGTCAAAGCTATGAATAAATAACCAATGAAAGAAAAAGGAAACATCAATGAAGTGTACTTAATCTTTATATAAACAACAATTTGAATGTATATTTTCTTGTCATGATGCTAACGCAATATTGTGTTACGTTCTTCCATAACAGATACAGTATCCTGGCCCCCAATGCTATCCCTCAAGGATTCGTTGATGGCAAGACCGTGTCAGAAAAGATCCTTACCGGTCTTCAGATGGATCCCACCGAGTACCGTCTTGGTACCACCAAGGTGTTCTTCAAGGCCGGTGTACTCGGTAACCTTGAGGAGATGCGTGACGAACGTTTGTCAAAGATCATCTCCATGTTCCAGGCCCACATCCGTGGTTACCTCATCCGTAAGGCTTACAAAAAGCTCCAGGACCAGAGGTACGAAATATTATGATCATTTACATTTTTTTCCTACGCATTTCATTGATTAGATGATNAATGATAACACGCAGTATTGATAAATCAATTAAATAGAACACCATCTGAAATGTGTTATTGGTAAACTATTTCCAAGTACGATGTTATTGTCATTGTCACTTGACACAATATGTTTTCATTGTAGAATTGGTCTCTCCGTGATCCAGCGTAACATCAGGAAATGGTTGGTTCTCCGTAACTGGCAATGGTGGAAACTATACGCCAAGGTCAAACCTCTTCTCAGCATCGCCCGTCAAGAGGACGAGATGAAGGAACAATTGAAACAGATGGACAAAGTGAAGGAAGATCTTGCCAAGAGCGATCGCATCAAGAAGGAACTTGAGGAGCAAAATGTTACCCTTTTGGAACAGAAGAACGACCTCTTCCTTCAGCTTCAGACCATTGAGGACTCAATGGGCGATAAGGAGGAACAGGTTGAGAAACTTATCATGCAGAAAGCTGACTTCGAGGCTCGGCTCAAGGAACTGGAAGAACGACTCTTGGACGAAGAAGATGCATCTGCTGATCTTGAGGGCATCAAGAAGAAGATGGAACAGGACAATCAAAATCTTAAAAAGGATATTGGAGATCTTGAGAACACCCTCCAGAAGGCCGAGCAGGACAAAGCCCACAAGGACAATCAAATATCCACCCTACAGGGAGAGATGGCCCAGCAAGATGAACAGATCGGCAAACTCAACAAGGAAAGGAAAGCTCTTGAAGAGGCCAACAAGAAGACGGGCAATGCTCTCCAGGCTGAGGAGGACAAGTGCAATCACCTAAACAAATTGAAGGCCAAGCTTGAACAGACTCTTGATGAGGTGAATATACCAAATTTATGTAAAATCAATAATACTATAAATTGTAAACTGATTTTGAAGTTCAAGATAAATAGATTGATTTGGTTTGAAATGACATAAGGTGATACATGGTGTTTGCCAGCCTTAATTTTGTAAATTATGCTTTGAACTGAATCATAACGTGATATCCGATCGGTTTACAGCTCGAGGATAACCTTGAGCGCGAGAAAAAGGTTCGTGGTGATGTTGAGAAGGCCAAGCGTAAGGTTGAGCAGGACCTGAAGTCCACCCAGGAGACCGTTGATGATCTTGAACGTGTCAAGAGGGAGCTTGAGGAGAACGTAAGGAGGTAAGCAGTCGATGCCTTATTATACTTACTAAGCATTCGTTAGCTTAATAGAGATCAATCAGTTAAACGACTATTTTCTACTACATAATGTTTAATTTAATGAATCGCTGACCACGTATTCCTGTATTTGTTAATAGGAAGGAAGCTGAGATCAGCACCTTAAGCTCCAAGCTCGAGGACGAACAGAACCTTGTCAGCCAACTCCAGAGAAAGATCAAGGAACTCCAGGTAAGTTATGTTTCATTCCATTTGCTCGAGACACGCAAGTAAACATATTTTACTTACTTGGTTGATTGATAGCATCTTATTTACGAACATCTTTTGTCTGTCTGACTTGAATTTAATTAAGCCTGTAAATTAACTACTCGATGCAATTTGTTTCTAATACGTAAAAGGAATGTCGTAAAGGTAGATTATAGGTACTTCTATATGTATAATGCCTAAACTATACACATGTTTAGCCGGGTTTTTTGTTTTTTGTTTTTTTTTGCTTTCAATTTTGTAAATGTCATATTTAACGAAATATGTTTGCATCAGGTTTAGCGCCTTATTCACATGATACCGTAAAGCTGTATTGTGCTATGCTCTAACCTACGTAATAAAATGCATGCATATGGAATTCGCTTTCATTGTATGTATTAGTCAACTGAATGCCCTCTAGTTTTTCTAAGGCATCTAGTTTATCTATCTATTCATACTGTCTCTAGTATGTTCCACAGAACACCAGTCCCAAGTAACTCAATCCAGCACGGCAGTCTGATAAGGTGTCTGTAAAACCAATGTAAACCAAAATTTAAACAGTTTCATCTTCTGTGGTAGAAGTCTGAGAGCAACGCGTTATCTGTCTGTGTGCAATGCGTCATATGATTTTCACAGCGATGTTCAGACGTGCTTCACTCTGTCTGACTCATAGCGGAAGTATGCACTCACTAAGGTGCTCTTTACATACCGACCAATCAGAGATTTAAGAGGCGATGATCTGCCAGTTCCCGTCATAGCTACCTCAACTCTTCCGCGTTCAAGTAGTGTTCGTTTTCCTCTGTTGTTGTTCCCCCATGTTATCCTTCCTGTTGTCCTGAAGTTCTGTAGTCACCTAGGTGTAAATAAGGGAACCTGTTTTCGTATTGAAATACTTGGACATTCTTACAATCATGGCTGTTGCAACATTTCAGGCCAGAATCGAGGAGTTAGAGGAAGAACTTGAAGCCGAAAGGAACGCCAGGGCTAAGGTGAGACACTTGTTTGTAGAATTTTTAATTTACTATAATTGATATAATGGTTTAGAACGAAACATTCTGTAAAATAGGTCTTACGTACTTGGCATAACTTGGTATCTATATATAGAATATGTTGTAGATAAGTTGGCAGCAGCTGTTTGCAACGATACGGTGTTTAGGGATCTTATGTTACTTTGATGGGATATTCTTATCTTTATCTCCTGCCTAGATGCTAAAAGGGTAATTCTACGTAGAAACACTAGACTGAATTTGCCGTACCGCAGCCATTCATTAACCAACATAATGTTTCAGAGAATCTTTTGACTACTACCAAATAAAAGTACTTAGTACTTTCAGTATGATTGAAATGGCTAAAGGAAACACTCATATAAATACATATGTTTTAAACATCCTGTTGTGAATTAACAGGTTGAGAAGCAGCGCGCTGAACTTAACCGTGAGTTGGAAGAGCTCGGCGAGCGTCTTGATGAGGCTGGCGGTGCCACATCTGCCCAGGTAAGCATCCATTTTTATGATATAAAAACAACATTTGAATGAAAGTTTATTGTATAAAAAACAATATTCTAAGAACTGGATAATGTGAATAAATCGATTACAAATAGACTATTTAATTATGTTTAACCAACTGTTTATCTGTTTTCGTCTTCTCTGGTTGTCATAATATATTATTTTTTTTAAAATTAACTCATCAACAGATTGACCTCAACAAAAAGAGGGAGGCTGAACTTCTTAAGATCCGTCGTGATCTTGAGGAAGCTTCTCTCCAGCATGAGGCTCAAATCTCTGCCCTCCGCAAGAAGCACCAGGATGCCGCCAACGAGATGGCCGACCAGGTTGATCAACTCCAGAAGGTCAAGTCCAAGTAAGTCATCTGAACTAATTGTGAATCATTTGTTCAAAAATGTATTTTATCAGTGAAAAATTTCAATAACTCAAAGAATCAAAATCATAATATTATAAAGATTGAAATTGATGTCGACACATGTCGTATTTTAAATATTATGTGACGGTTTATAGGCATAACTGATAAAAACCTGTGTATAAGAATTAAAACTTACTGTAATGCAATTAATATCAAGTGTTAAGATATTTAAAATAAATATAATCATAAAAAACTTCCAGGCTCGAGAAGGACAAGAAAGATATTAAGCGCGAAATGGATGACCTCGAGACTCAGTTGATTCACAACTCGAAAAACAAGGTACCATGCCTGGTTATGACCAAGCATTTCACGAGGACACAAAATGCGCTCGGCGCATGTCCTCTTCGACTCCTTCCAACCACGTTGTCCTTACCGAGCATGTATCGAACAGGACTTGTCCTATCAGAAGATTATATATATCCATAGTTTGTCCTTCCTTTACTCCGTTTGTGTACATGATG